GAAACAAAATTTTAAGTGATCATTTTTAAGAAACAAATGATTGAAAAAAATTTTGTTTTTGTGACACAATCATAATATTACCGTAGTTTATGAATTTTTGAACAAACAATTGGAGAAAGTTTTAAAATCAAATTTGATTTCATCTTTTCTTTCAGAATAGTTCTTCTAAATAACTTAGAAATAATTCCGTTATATTGAATTGCTATTATCATTTTGAAAAAAATTTTAATTTGTTCAAAATAATTTTGAAATACGATAATGATTATTATTGTTATTAATTATTAATAATAATTATTATAACTACAACTATGTTACTATCACATGTAGTGGATAAATTTCTGAGCAAGAATTAATGTATTTTTATATAAGGGACCGTATCACGGAAGAATTGAATTGGAAGATTCCAACAGTTTTCTTATGAAATATATTTTTCTGAAGCCTTCCTAAATATATAAAATGCGCAAGTTGTATGAATCCATTAATAAATGAATTATATTGTGCCAACTTTCAGCATTTATTTGGCATTTGATTGGCGCAAAAAATTTTCGCTAAATTTTGCAGTTTTCCTTCATTCCATTCAAGTCAGTCTTTTTTATAAAATTTTTACGACAATTTCATTTCATTTAAATACTTTCAAATTTATTTTTGCAAAGAAGAAAACAATGTGTAGCTTTTTTCAAAAAATTTTGAAATTTATTTTAAAAAGTAAATTTTTTTGATTAATTAATTTTTTGATTTAAAATTGAGAAATGCAATACAAACGAACGAATCAATAAGAGTATCCAATCTCAAGTGGTACTCTCATGAATATAAAAATATTTGAAGAGTGATGATTGCATCGAAATAACGCTTTTTCTGTAAATTGTGCAATTTTCCCTTAGCAATAGTAATTAATGATCGCAGTAAATTTATTCTGTGAGATTTATTAGGTTTTATATCGTACATCAAATGTATGCATTTAATCTAACATATAATATTATGTCCAATTGACTTACAAATTTAGATTACCGGTAAATATTACATTGTAGTTTCAATTGGATTTCATATCTACTTGATCAATGTATAGTAAAATCTCAAAGTTTACTTGTAGCTTGTGCGAGCTTTTCCAGAAGTATCGTATCATTGCTATCATTTATACTATTATGGGATTTTTAGGTTAAATCTGAACTTTTATGCAGCTGCTAATGTTTCTAATATCATCCCAAGCAAAAACTGAAATTCAACTTCTATTTTTGACATTAAATATTTGAAGCAATCTTTTTCAGTGTAACGTTAAACATATTCTACGCTATGTTACTGTCTTTTCGATTGATTGATTTGACTTTATCAAATCTTATTAAATGAATATCTTGTAAAGAAGTGAAATTTTAGAAGTTCAATTCTCCAATCAATCCTATCATTTATACTATGATAGATACATGCAATCATTTGTTTAATTATTAGCACTCATTCATTATGTAATACAAAATTTAAGCGTAATTAAAAAATTATCCAATTAATATCTTCCCGTTGAGAATTTAATAATGTACAAAATACTTATTTAATTACTTCATTAATTAATTTTTAAGCAAAAACGGGGTGGATTGAATGGTATCAAATAGTAAGAACAGTTGTTCCTACAAAGTTTAATTTGTGTAGTACTACTGAAATCTATCCCTCTACAACTTCGCATTCGACTCAACATATTTTAAATCTTAATTACAATTTAAATTTCAACCTAAATTTAAAATTTTTCTACTGAAAAAATGAAATTCAATATTTTAACAGTCCCATTGTTTTATTTTCAAAATATTTAAAAGATTCTGAAGATAAAAAAAATAATTATTAAAATGAAATTTTTGTTAAAACAATTTCCAATCGAATAATTTTGCTTGAGAAAAAATTTTAGAAATATTCTCTCTCTCCCTCTCTCTCTCTCTCTCTCTCTCTCTCCCTCTCTCTTTTAAGAGAAAGCTATTCGATGCAGAAATGAAGAAATAATAATTGCTCGATTGTAATTTTGAATTAAAATTTAGTATTAAACGATATTTTGCATAATAATAATTAGATTTTATTGAATCAATCGATACTTAAGTTTATATCATATATTCAACATATATTTCCAATTTTTGATTTAGGAATGACTTAAAAATTGAAATTAAAAACTTCTTTCTTAAAATTTTTAAAAGAGAGTTATTCTATTCGAAATTTAACTTAATTAATATAAATAAACATAATAGAAATAAGCCATAGTTGGCAGCACATTGGATGATTGAAAATAAACAAACAAGTAATATAGGTAACAAAGGTGAGATATTTCCGATTGTTGTTCAATTAACAAATGGGGATAGCTTTGCTAAAAATTTCATTCATGCAAAATTTTTCGTTATTTAATTTTTTTAGAACGTTAGATATTATGCTTATAATGTATATTATTGATTGATTTCATGTATTATTGATTGATTTCATAGTTATTGATTGATTTCTAATAAATCCTTAAATGAATAATTTCCAAACGTATAACTTTTAATAATATTATATCATTCAATTTCTACCTTTCTCAGCATTTTTATCTGTTATTTTCAATTTTTATATTTGAATTGCTAAACATTGCAATAAATATTCTTTTTTTAAAATTTTTATTTCATTAATATTTTAACTAATTAAATATTTTTAGTGTTCAGTCTAAAGAAACAAAAGAAAAAGTTCAAATAATTTTTTTCAATTTGAATTTTTCAAATTAATATTAAATGGCTTTATTTCCTATTTAATAAATGTCTAATAAAATTATTTAACTGATAAGACATTTTAAATGAAATTGTTAAGAAGTAATTATCAAATTCAAAATCAAAAATTCATATTATTTATTGATTTTTGCAATATTAAGATAAGATTACATATTCATCCATTTACATAATTTGCATGTAATCACTCAGATTTTATCATAATTTCATAGAAATATAATTGTTTGATTCCAAACAGAATTATAAAATTAATATCTTTATTGTTTCGGTAATAGGATTTTGCCATCAAAAGCATCCGATATCTGTAGCAATACCAATCTGAAGTTTCTGAGTTAAGGATACTTTGATATCGATTGATAATTTTAACTTTAAACATAAAATGCATATTTTCATAAATGTTGTAAAGTTTGTTTTTTTAATGATATAGCAAGTAAAATTTGTTTCAAAAAATTATCATTGTCTTAAATTTAGAAATATAATCGCTTAAAATTTTTCTTTTCATCGTTCAATAATTAAAATTAATTATAGTTATAGTTTAATTTTTAAAAAGGATAAAAAAGTTGGAAAGGAAAATTATCATCTTGAAATCGAATAACAACTAATCATAACGTACTGTTAAAAACTATTTTGAAATATTCTAAAACTTAACGCACATCGATAATCTTCTTCAAATATAATTATTTCAATTCAAATCACAAAACTAAATGTAATTTTTTTATTAACCAAAATTTTTAAATTCACTTTTTGTTTTAATTTTAATTTATATCATTTTCATACATTTATTTATTGGAATAATTAATTTTAAAATATATTCATAATGTTCTCCAAATAAGAAATATTGCACATTTATGGATTAATGTAAATAAAAAACTAAAAGCAATATAAAGATGGGATAGACGTAGAAATTAAAATGTGATTAGATGAAAGTGATAACAACGTGTTGCAATTTATCAGAACACTTTCCGAAAGTTTGAGAGTATCAGTAGATGAATTTATCGTTAGAATGAATCAGCAGAATAAACATAGAATGTTAGCTTACTTTTTCAATATTACAAAGCAGATATACCCAAGTAATATATTTCTTCATTCTCTTCAAATATTTACCATTCATTTTGAGTATACGCTTTATCATTGCTTACAATTACATTTCTAATTTCAATTTTAAATCTCTAATTATTCAGAAGATCGCATCTTAATTGAAACATTTAATCTACTAACTACCAAATTTCGTTAAATATTCCTCAAGCCATAGTGGAACGAAATTATTTCGTTACTTTATAAATGCCAATAAATGGCATAATTTTGTAACATTTGTGAACATTAAAGAAAGTTCAATTTGTCGATTATATTCAACTTTTGAGTTGAACAAAAAAAAATTCGGGTAAAATTAAAATTTGAGTAAGAAATACAAATGTGTTAATAATATGTAAAATTCATTTTGCAAAGATCTACCGTTCATATTACCTGGATGAACAGAGTATATGACCTGTGATGTACACACATATTATATATATTTGTCTTGTCTAGAAGAAGGAATAAGTTGTTGAAGAAGATTACAAAATGAAAACTGGTTAAGTGGTTTCTTGTTATCCCATCCCTTCTTTTTACCTCTTACTTTCAAAATTAGTTAGAGAAGCTTGAAATTTCTTTCTCTCTACTAGACAAGTTAATTCTTTTAGGCTTATCAGAACACTTCACTGAAGCCTAATATCACCTCTCTCCTGATCTCTTGAACTTCTAATCTCCCATAGCTTATTACATATTTTGAATTGAATTTTAGAATTTATTACTTGGATTTTGATTTAAGATCGAGGAAGAATTCACGAATTAATGAATTACATAATCTAAAAGTCTCATATCTTAGATATATCATATCTTTCATATCTTACTACTTTTCTGTAATATTTTTCCTTCATTCAATGTTTCCTTTTCAATTTTGATTTTCAAAAAGCCGGAAAAAAATACAGAAATTAAAACTTTACTCTTTCGCAATTTTACAATTTAAAATTATCTTTTAATTTAATTCACTGAGTATAAACGTCATATTATGCGTATTATAACTATTTATCAATGAAATTTCGTCATAATCAAAATTTACTTTAAAAATTTACAAATTTCATTGCGTTTTTTCTAATTATTAGAACCAAAAATTAACGAAATTAGTGTTCCTCATTAACTTACTAATTGTTTTTTCTGTTGGTTTGCTTGAATTAACCAAATTATTCCTACTATAGCATTTGGTATTTGGAAAGATCAACCAACCTGAAACGCTCAATTATGCTTGGTGTACCACTTTTTGTTGCCACTTGTATATATTATAAACAAAGCAAAAGTAAATATAGTGGTACGTGTAAAAAGCACAAAAAGCAGTCTGCACAAGACGACAAGCAATCAAAACCTTTTGAATCTAATAATTCCAACGAAACAATTCGATCGAATACCAAAACGAATGAGAAAGTAATAATATCATTATGCGATAGTACCGATTATGATAATGATAGTTGCTACTATATTCCCGGAAAAAAAGTATTCCGGGTGATGGATAAGATTCCAAAAAAGAAACAACAAAAATCAACCGACGTAGAAAGCATGCATTTTCCAAAGAAAGTCTTCGGACCAATGCTCAAAATTTCGAAATTGTACGAAAGTCGACGCTTACGACAAACCAGAGGTCAAGTAACATCAACATTTGGAAGATTATCAACATTATTTCGAAAATGCTGTGCTGAAAAATTTCATCGAACTCGGACAATTGGATCAATTCAGGAAAAATCATTCACGAGTACATTAGCACTAACATCGACCAAAAACACGGAACCATTAACCAAAATAACAAATGTGGAAAACCTAAATTCTGCACTAACTGTATCACCTGGGATAGGACCAGTAGAGCTAGGAAAGGATGAAGTGGAATATATTGATGCGGAAAATGATCTAGATTATTCCAGGAATATATATACGATGAAACGTGGTATTCGGTATCTTTTCAATCAGGAAAGATTGATTAACAAGTAATTATTTTTCATTTAATTAATTAAATCTAATTTTTTGATAAAAATTTCAACTTCATTAGTTTTTCAAATAATCAGTATTGAATTGTTTTTGTCTTTTAGCAGAAATTTCATGAAATAATTTGATAATTACGTACTTTGTTATGAGTACGTTACTACTTAAAAACTGAAGAAGTACTCAAAAATATTGTGAAAGGTTTCTTGCTAAGGAATAGAAATATTGCAGAGATGATAATGATGATATGGAAGTGGAACAAAAACGTGGATTTTTTCAGGTACATATTTTAACAATAGAAGTATTTTTCCAGATAATAGTAATGTTATTTCAACAGTTAAATTTAATGTTAAATTTGCAAATTTATGAGAAAAAAATTAAGACTTTTACAAATTTTAGAAATTCTTTCGTCCAACAAGTTCACGTTTAGTGGGTAGTGGTGAAGGAACAAGCATAGAACCGGAAGGAAGGCCATTGCTACACGATGATGACGGATATGCTGTAATTGACAGGAGACAAGATGAATTTGTTATTTCTATTGACAAGGACAAACGTGAAAGTAGTCCTTTTCATCATTTTTAACATTTCAATGTATGAAATTCAATTTGCTCAAGTAAAATTCAAATAAACTTGAATGCTATCGTTGCTTAAGGAAGATAAATGTAAACATTGAAACTTACGTAAATTGGGCCTGGAATTTAGCGTTACATTTAAAATCGACATTTAAAATAAAGCTGTTTGAAATTTGTTCATAATAATTGGATTGAAAAAGAACTTAAGATTCGGACGAAATGATTCAAGATCATATAGAACACAAAGATAAATAAATGATTATACATAATTCTTTTGATATCACATTTTGTTATAGAGAGAAGGATCAATCATCAAGAAAATCAATAATTTATATAATTTATAGTGTCAGCACCAGTATCACCGAAAAGTGTCACATTTGAGGATAATTTGTTCACTACAATAACAGAGCGGCGTGGTCAAAGTGTAGCTCCACCTTCTACATTTTTAAATGGTTCCACAAGAACAACTATACCTAAGCAACAAGCATTCATCAATTTGGATTATGATGTATCGCAGATTTCAGCAATGAATTACAGGCATGATCTGCAATCACCACGGTCTAGAAGTACCTTATCAGATCGAGAGCATTATGTTAGTTTTTCTTTTTTCCCATGGTAAAGGTATTCTTACGCAGTAAAAGATATAATTAAAAACTGTTCATAACGATCAATCAGTATTGCTATTTTTAAACATTCATTACATGACTGATAACTGTTATTTCACGCTTCATATGGAACACGTCGCCAAAATTTATTGTAAATTTTATTGCGAAAAAAATGAACATGCAAAATTGCAGTCACCAATTCGCTCAAGTCGTGATGCATCATTAGCTTTGGATGAAGCCACGCATGATTTGTTACGTTTTTCTTCACAACCGCCATCGGTTTGGGATAGCAGCAGTTCGCATCCACTGCATACTGCCAATCGCATTCCAAAATCTGCTTCTACTACATCTATGAATAAAACTATTAGGACAAAGGTTGTCCTTTTCTACCATGAATGCTTTTGACAGTTATGATCTCATAGGAATCTGATTCCAAAATTCACCATTAGTTTATGACTTTTAAGCATACTAAATAGTAACCGATAATAATATTCTTAAATGTTACTTTGTCTGCAACGCTTCTATCTCATAGATTTCAAGTTTACAATCAGTAATTTTGACATAAAGTGATACGGAAATTTTTCGAAGGAATATAATTACACGTAAAAATTATTCGTTTTCATTTTGATTCTATCATTACAACAAATACTTTTTACTTGCTAAAAATTGCGTAATTAAATCATAGGATGAGGGGATGGTAAAACCGTCAAATGTATTTTCCTGGGATACTGATCGATTAAGTGATCTTCGTCCCAGCGATACATCAACATATACAGATGAAGAAGGACGACGGCATCAAACAGTTACCGTTTATACCAATAAAAGGAGGTTATATCCTTTTCTTTCATCTCTTTATATTCAAATCTTTCCTTATCATTATTTAAATAATATCTTTGAAAAGAAGGAAAAAATTATATTTATATAAGTTGAGTTAACCGTAATATTGGTCCCTACAGACAAGGGCCACCGATAGTTCGAACAACAGTGGAAGGAAAATTAAAAATGGAAAAAGTTGTTGGGGCAGATCTTATATCCGTTGAACATTGCACGTGTAGTGCGTGGACGATACGCGATACTATTACACATTATAAAGTAATCTTATTTTCGTATTAAACATTTGTTAATGAAACTAAAATTAAAAACAATAAATCATTATTTTGTTGTTCTTTCACAAATATGAGCAATGATAATATTATTTTTAAAATTATTTGTTTGTAATTTTATTCCGTTGTTTCTTCTTGTTCTCCTTTTTGGGAGATCAAATTTTGTGTTTCGATTGAAATGTATGGTAATGAAGGATTATTTTACAAACAGGTGAAAACTACGTTAGGAAATCGTACGCTAATCATGGAAGAATTGACGAATGGTGAGAATCGTGAGAGAAATTTCAAAATGAGTCTTTATGAAGATGGTCAATTAAAAACAAGAGATATGGCCGATTTTCAAATACCATCGAATGCGGTGGGTATAATTTATTTATGCCATAAACTCTTTCGTAGAAAATTAGTTGAATTAATGATAATTAATTAAATCAGTTAATCCTTATTTTCTTAAAATTTAAGCAACAACTAGAATAGTTTTGCAAAATGTTGAAATGTCAATTATCGAATATCAGATTTAAATGTGGAGGAATGGGTATTGTTTAAAAAATCATAATATGAAATTCTATCACATTTTTGGAGTAGACGATTCAATTAAAAGATTTTTTGTTTTCAGGATAAAGCGAAATACCTCTCCTTGCTTAGCCAACGATTGTTGCATGATATGGAAACATTGAATCAACAGGAAGAACGGAAAATAATAACTCGGATAGAAGTAGAAGTGATTGAGGATGTGACGAAAATATTGAAAACATATATTATTGGAGAGCGGAATGATTTGCTTCAAGATTTTTCGGTCGACCAGGCAGCAGTTGATGCAAACAATGAATTCCCGCATAGTATTTACGAACATGAGAAGTGTACATCATCACACGATCTTGCGGAAAAGGAATATATGGATGTTTTGGAAAAAGAGGCGATAACTTGCCAACCATCACCTGATATTAAATTCATCTTTGAAGGTCATTATTACGAGGATCATTCTGCAATACAATCTCATCAAAGAACTGATTCGGAAACAATGACAACATCAGAGAGCATTACGAAGAAATATGTACCGCCACCTTTCATTTATATCAATGTAGAATGCACCTTGAAACGTTTGGAAGATCATTCATTGAACGAGGTTAACGTTGCAGTGCCAAACGTTTTCTCCGCCGTGTTATCTCTAATACGTGAACGCATTCCACCACAATTACCAAATCTTGTTAGCTATGGTATGGAGCAACATGGGAAACAGTACTCCGGCGAAACAACGATCCGACGTCTACATCGTTTTGAATCCACTGAGTCATTCGACGAAATGCAGAAGACGATGATTCATACTCAAAAAGAACCAAGTTTCTTGTTCGAGAAACCTCAGATAATTGAACCGGTGAAAATTCCTGTATTAAATATTACGGAATTAGATCTACGACGATTGGCAGACACATCAGCAATTCTGGCAAATTTCGCAATTCCACGTACCGACCAGAATCAACTGGATATCGAACGTCGTTACGAATTTCGGGAAGCCCAGGGTAGCAGTTATGGTGCACAGCAGAAAGGACAACATTTCGAAGGTGAAACGGTTCTCAGAAAGAAACGACGCCTTTTTTTCGAATCAGAATCAGACTCAGTTTCAGAGGAAGATATTTGTGGACCAACATATTTGAATTTGACGAAACAGGAAGCTCGTGGAGAATTTGAAGTTGCAATTATCATTTCTAACGATCAACGCAGTTCTCCAAAGCATTTTCAAGAAAGTCAACCCATTGAAGTTATCAATTTAATCGCACAGATCAGCACGGATGGGAAAAAGGAAGAGATACTCGCTACTTTTGCAACTAAAATCAGTTGTAAGGAAGTATACATGGGACAAGAAATGAGTACCGTAAGCAGCACTGCAATCATAACAATTCAGAAAACAGTATCTTTGGATGACATCTTCCAACAAAATATTCGAAGCTGGAGCGATAGAAGAGTTGAGCGAATTACTGCAAGCTTTTCCGAATTCTTTGAGGAACAAATGCAAGTTTTCGTGAATATAGGACATGTTAACAAATACTCCAGTGAGCTTACGGTGGAATTTATCGTGAAAGACGTTCGTACGCAGAAAACAGATCTTTACTCACGAGCAAGTCTTGAAAGTGAGCGTGTTGCAAATGTATCCCTAAATCGAGGATCAAAAATGTTGACTGCAAGTACACAATTATTTGAGCGTATGAAGCAGAATGCGCAGATGACGATTACTGAATTTGGAGATGAAAGAGAACAAGTTGCTATATTGTTACAACGCGCAGGCATTATGCATGGACAAGTGCACCGTGAATGGCCCGAAGCAGTGACAGGTAGGTCGAGAAGCACATGTAACACTTTTTCCACTACCAAGACTTTTAATATCTTTGAAGCCTTTATTGACCCTTTCAATACTATGACCAATACTGATTTTCCAAGCACTGATTTAACAAAAATAAACACAGCGACTAAACGTTTTCATTTATCTAATTTCAAAACCATTTTACCAACTCATAGGGTGGCACAAAAAGTTTTCCCATTAATTGATATCACTACTGTTTCGATGGATCTTTCCATCAATCACGCACAACAGATTCCAGAAAATTCTGATGAAATTAGAGTTAGAATTGCACATGAATTATGTGACACTGATGAAATTAAACAGCAAATTGAAGAAGAATCTTTGCAAATGGTCATTAAAACAGTGAGTAATATAGTGGACAATTGAAAAAAATGTTTGTACTGTTCGGGTAACTCGTACACTCATACGCGTGAAGCAAGCATTATAATAGAGCCTCCTACAAAGTCACGTAATCGATCGCGTAATAATTTAAGCGACGAAGCGAAAGGTTTATTATTATCATTGCAAAAATCATTCAGATATGCAAAGTGGAACTGAATTATCATTTTCTTCTGATAGTCATCATATACATGGAAAATCATCTAAGCCAGCAGCTGTAAATGTCGAGATCACAAAATCACCTAAAATTATTAATATACTAGTAATACGGACGAATGAAACAAAGAAAGACGCAGATGGCACACGTAAAGTATTTCCTCAACCTAAACTGAAGAAGAACGAGTAATACCTATTAAACAAATTTCAGCCATAGATTTAAGTTATATAAATAGTGCGAAAGAGCGGTTCATTAATGCACAAGAACAGTGGACATCGAAATTTATGACAGCTTGCATTCGCTGCTCATTCATTCAGAAACATGGAATACGTAAATGATAACCGCAGAATTAAGGTAATTTTCGAGGAATCAAATTCTTATTTGTAAATGGCGATGCCACAATGTAATAACAAACGTGAAGCACCTTTAACATGGAATTCAGTGGATAGAAGTCATAAGCAACAATTTGGAGAAGACAAAAAAACAAATGGATGTATTTGCAAGAATTACTTCATGATACTCAACAAAAAGAACAGCAACTGCCGCATAATTCTTTTCCGCGAGGAAAATAGAAAGCAATGAAGGGAAAGATATATAATACCACAATTGAAACACATGTTGCGATGCTACATGCAGACTTACGATGTTGATACAACAATATTTGCAACACCAGAAATGGAGACGCAGTTAACATTTGCAAAAGATCGTAGCGTGATGGCGAGTGAATATTTTTCTGCTAAACGAAGTTGGACTACTAGTACGGAATCATATTTTAAAGAACGAAAGATATACAGGTCCGCTTGTGATTTATTTGAATTTTCGCTGGAAGAAAATTTCGAAGCATTCAATGAAATAAGCTGTATCTCAGATGCAACTTTCAACTGTACAAAATATTCAGAAAGATTCAAAAAATCAATTGACCTCTCATTTGACGATTAGTCTTGAATCTTTCACATTAAAAGAATTCTTCGTGGTAAAAGAGGATAAATTTAGTACATATAAATATGATGTTACAGTTGGAAAGTCCGAACAGTATGAAATTTTTATTCTCAACGGGATATCATGATTTGATACAAAAAAAACAGCAGAGGAAACTTTAGTTGTTAAAAAGAAGGAATAAACAGATTCAAAAATAGATGAACTCAATATCGCGATTTAATGTTATTCTGAGAAACGAATATAAGACATATTCAAGCTGAGGTTTGACCATTAGATCTTGAATACTAAAATGAAATATTTCAACAAGCATTACAAAAAGCAGCACTACAAAAACTATGGAAACCACTAAGCAAATAATACTAGAACAAGTAAAAGAAAACGTTATCACAGTTGGCATTAGAACATGAATGGTAGAAATACACAAGTAGGAAATAGATGTAACATTAGTGAAATAGATTATAGTCAAACAATTTCATAAGCTCTCTCCATTTCACCAAAAATAATTACTGAAGTATCAGTTCCGGAGCAAAAAATAAATCAAACTGATAGTGTGGTTATTTTCGGTAAAGTTGCAAATCAACTAAACAAGCATGGAATGAAACTGCACCAATTAGTGTAAACTACCTTGCAGATGTCAACTTTCCCGGAAAAACGGATGATCTGCTTAGTTTTAAAGAAATAGTCAATTTGTTGCTATTGTGCATTTTCCACTCAAACCCATGAAAAAGTTATTTTTGGGAGCAACTGCTGTAACTGAAAAAGCAGCATCAATTACACAGGATGAAATAAGTGCTGTAACAACGCCGGAAGCAAAAATGCTGCAGCAACAAAAAGGAACTGTGAAGGAGTTTGAACAAATACGACAACAATTCGGAAATGTTGAACGATAAATGCCAACAGCTAATACCTTCCGAAATCGGAATTCCTAGAAGAAATGAAGCAACTGAGAAGAAAAACTCAAGTACTGATAAAGATCGAGCAAGAATTAAGATCACATGAAAACCAAGAAATAATAGAACTAACGGTAGAATTCATTGAGCAAGCACATAAAAAAGTCAGTTGATGATTGCGGAAGAATTGGTGGAATCTGAATTTCCGAATAGGTAAATATGCAGGAGACCGAAGGAGCTGCTCTATCAATGCATCAGGAGACATCAACAGAATGGAAATTTGAACACGAATGGTAGAACATTTCTGGTGAAATGGAGAGGAAAAAATGGAACACGTGTCAACGATTGAAATTCCTAATACGAAAACTATAATAGCAAGTGCCGCAGAGTATAATGAAGAAGTAACTAGTTCAAATGTATGAAAGAACTACAGTTCAAGAAATAATTGAATAGTGCATGAAGATCATTGCTGATAATTCTGAACTTCAGATTAACAAGGATGCATGATTTGCTTCAAATAAAACTGTTACGAAATATTGTTTTGAGGGGTCAAGTGGATCAATGGGCTGAAATAACAGTTAATTCCGAAGAGAGGACCAGTCAAGAACGTATGAATTTTCAGCCAACTGCTAGAAGTTCCATTACGCAAATTTGTTTTTGGAAAGAGTCGGAACAATTCTTTGCAAGTATCGACAAGTGTCGAAGCAATAGAACGAAGAGAGCACGTGCTAGACATCTGGAAACTAGACATAAGAAAGCAACATTAGCTGCTGGATGGACGAAAGTCCTAAGAAGATCATTAACGGAAAAGGTAGTACCAGCTGGACGAACACAAGCGGTGCATTATAGCCGGAACAAAACATCAAGTTTTGGAGAATGATTGAACAGATGGAATCTTTCGATGCCATTGAACTAAGACGTTCCTTGAAAAAACTATTGATGAAAAACAGCTAGCGATAGTTTCTGAATCACAATAACATTCATTGCTCAAAAAATCTTTCGATAAAAAATGTGTGTTACCAGATCTAAAATCATTCGAACTCAAACACATGTTGTCGAATATGACGTTCGTTCGCAAGATATTGTCAAATACGGAGCTTGTTGTTCGACTACGGGTTCGTTCGCAAGATTGGAACATAAAGAAATAACGGAAAAAGCCGAAGCACAAGTTGTCTCTTCAATGAAACTTGAAAGTCATTTTAATAGACTGCTTTTCTTGACTGCTTTTCAGAATCTTCTCGTTGAAAATACAGCCATTATGCAACTGCAATATCCAATTGAATGAAGCTCGTAGTACAAAAACCAGTTGCAAAATATATAATGAATCTGAAGATAACACATGAAGAAGTTGATGGCCCGGTGGGTATATGCAAGAGACAGGTAAAACACGTATTAAGCGCTCTACGAATTTGCCGAGTGAAATACTGAAACAACTTCACGCATTCATGAATTCAGCAACAAACACCAGCAATTCATGCCACACTGGGGATGGTGCAAAATGAACAGTATCAGCGTAGACATTTGTTGCAATTGTAGAATATGATGACTTGCAGCGTTGATGCAGTCAAGCATGAAGATGTGGAAATTAATGACTCAATCGAACAACAGGATTTCTTAGAATTCACGGATAAGACGATTTCACTCAAGCTACATGCAATTGAAATTGGTGAGTAGATTGTTCAAGCAGGCGCTGAAACTGTATTTCAACGATCTGATGAACAAATCGCTGGAGAAGTTATAAATATTAGCACTGGATATTTTGAGAAGCAAAGCGAAGTTTTCCAAGAATATTGTTCTACTTTAACGGAAATTGTTGTTCACTTTGTAAGGATTATGAAAAAGAAAACCGAAAATGAAGCCAAAATATCAAATAGCGTTAGAAAGACATTGAGAAGAGTGTTTGGATTTAAAAGCTTGCGAGAATACATCGCAAATTTGGAACAATTATTGGTAAAAGTTGAACCAATTGAAATGATTAAACATATCTGGTGTAAAGTAAATCATAGAAAAGTTATTGTTAGTTTTATTGCAACTTTTGAAATACATGTAATTATTTTTGATAAGTAGTCACAGCTCCAATCTCTAAAAATTATCTTAAAAAGTAGAGATCAAGAATGGATAATCAGTGAACAAACAACATGTTGCACAAAGTGAAATATTAAAATTAATAGATATATTATGGACCACCATCATGAACGATTTTGATATCGCTATTAATATATATGAATCTAACCATGTGCAAGTAACACTTAATGCTGCAGCTAGTCAAGAAATACAGTTGGCAAGTAAAAATATTCAATGTATAAAACTATCTCATGAGAATGCCTCCACACGCTCTCTACAATCACCGCTGTTTCAGGCGATGAAAGACAGTTTAAAGTAGAATCTAAAATGAAAGAAAGCATTTTGACACTTCAACAAGAAGTATTTGCGGAAAGTGTGCAGAAACCAGTACTTCGAGCTGAAAATCTAACGAAATCGGCAGCAAAAATTTCAGAAATACAATCAAATGCTGAAATTATGCTGATGCGTCATTCTGCAAAGAAGGCAACTGAATCTGCATCATGTATTGTTGGCAGTGTGTTGACGTTATCACAAGACTTGAAAACGCAACATAGCCAGGAGACTAGCAAAGCGGCGAGCATAGAGTTCTCCTCTCCGGCATCTAACTTGGAAGTAGAAGATAATATCCGTCAATCTGCCTTCAATCGAAGCATTGTAAGTCTGGAAACTAAATATGCGAAAGCAGCAGCATCACAAGAAACTATTGAGTTAACCAAATCACGTAAAGTATTAGCTGAAACGGGGAGTATTTTGAAAGCAGCCTACACAGACGCTGTGCTTGAAGAATTGAAAGAAACAAACTCGGAAGGTTTTGAAATTTTGTCCCAATGGACTACTGTTGATCGAGATTTGGAAGCTGAAGTAAGACTATCACACATACGTAACATTGACAGTAAATTCTCAACTGTAGCAACCAGCGAAGAAGAAACTTCAATTGGTGAGACGTGGATAGCAGCGGAATGTAACATGGAAACGTGTATAATTAGAAATGTCACTGCATCGGAATATTGCCAACGTGGCTTCCGAATTGAATTTGACGAAGTGAAAATACGGTTGGAAAATTTTGAAAAAGAAGGAAGCTGTGAAATATTTTGGTGTGATAAAAATCATGAAATGTTATGCGTATCCATGCATGAGTCGATTTTGGAAAAGCTAAGCGCAGTGATTAACCTCTATCGTATATCTAACATTTTATCAAAACAAACAGCAAATGAATTCATTTGGCGTGATCAACAAATTCTCGCAGCCCTTCCGCTATACGTCAAATGTGAAGATACAGATTATAAAACTGTAGATATTTATTTGGAACAAGAATTAGCACAAAAATATCTTGAAACAGTCCGAATTTCGGCCAACTGGATGGAAACGGAAATTTTTGAATGCAAAGAAGCTGGGGATAAAAAATTCCATATGGCTGTGGAATTACAAGGAAAACAATTGATTCCTTTGGGTGCAGAAGTAATATGGCCTAAAGCTAGAAAAGACGATGGCATAATGGTTGATATAGAAGAATATCAGGAGGATCAGGCTATATTATACGCAGAATTAACTTCCGAACAAGTAACATTTGCCGAATTCAACATGACTATTATCATTAGCCAAGACTGTGAGCCACAGACGCTCATAACCAATGCTATAAAAGGAGAAATTGTGAATGGATACGACGAATTTAGGATGGTGCCACAGGAAAAAACTATTAGTCATGTGATGATTATCGGAAATAAGGGTGAATGTTTGTCGATGTGTTTGCAAGAAACCAAACAAAACTTTATTACTGTAGGATTTCAATATAGTAAAGAAGTTCAAGGGCACGAAATGGAAGGTGATTTTGTTGCGAAACGTTTTGGAGGAAATTATCAGCTTTTGACGAAAGCGACACAAGCAGAAGATCGTAATGTTATCATAACAATGTTACGTCCAATCGAAAATGAAATAATTATTGAAGTTTTAAAAGAGAACATCAGAGATTTCTCATCGATGGTAATTTTGGCATCGACATCCAAAGTAACATTAATAGATGTTAACTGGGAAAAGGCGCCACAAGCAGCATTAGCATTAACGCAATGTCCTTGCTCTCGAAAAGCGGAACCAATTAAAAGTCGTTTTCTGGAAGTTGGTGAAACCATGCATACTGTATATGCGCAGTTCAAAATTAAAGAAGTTTCATGGAAATTTCCGATTATTTGGAAGGTTCCAAATTATGGCGGACATTTGACGTTGAATACAGAATCCGCGAAGGAAATAATTTGGGATCATGAAATCGAATATTACAAAAATGAAACATCTGAGACTACAGTAAAAACGTTAAAAGAAGTGATAACAATGATAGCACTAGTATTGTCAGCACAATATATTACTGAAATAACGGAAGAAATTAGAATGGATTTAATAAGACCGTCAGTTATAGGCCAAGCTTACTTACTCCTTAAACAAGCCAATAGAGGTGTCAATATTGATATAAAGTTAATTGAAACAACGGATATAAGACAGTCTAGCTACCTACAGTTAGAACGAGAAGTTGAATCTATTGAAGCCGAAAAGATAATAAAAGATGCTCGGTTTGGTGGAAAATTAAGCCTTGCTACTAATGCTTCGGAAGAAAACGAATTGAATGTGGTACGAAGGCTTACAAATGACTTTATTCGGATTGCTCACTGTAGTCAATTGATAGTTCTCAAAAATTGGAGTCATGGTACGTGCTGTGAAGTTATTGCCACGAAATCAGAATCTGTTGATATGAATATGAATTTGCAAAATACGGGAAGTACAGATGATGCCTACCGGACGGTGTACCAAAAACCACTAATGAGGTATACATTGATGGTTCAAGAGAGCGAAGTAGTTGTGTTGACTATTAATTTGAATTATATCAAACAAAGAACAAAAGAAATTTCAGAGAAGACAATATGGTTGGCACAGAATAGTGAGCCGTGCATCCTGACAGCATTTGCTACGAGACATGAACAGAAGCTGGTACAACTGATTCTTGAAAAACGACGTGATACCTTTTTAGGTGCTTCAACGAGAATTACAATTAAAAATATTGTGAAAGTTTTTCCACTCGACACGACCCAATCGGAATCCGTGGAAATTTCCGTTTGTCCAAATCTTCAACGCACTATCGAAATACTGGAAATATGTAAAACTTTGATAGCACATAATCGTGGCTATGATATGTATTGGAAATTATATGAAACACGTGAGGAAAATGAATGCTTGAATTATCAATTCAATCAGGAGAATATGATAGAAGAAGTTAAAGCGATTCTTCGTCAGCCATTTTATGGTGGTCATTCAATTTTGAATACCTCTGCCACGAAAGAATATATGGTTAACAAGACAATTCAACTGGAATCAAAATTGCCTACTGAATTCGAAATGCACTTCTCAGTCAACATATCCAATAAAAACATTCCCGTAGTATTCTCGACGAAGTCAACAGTTTCGGTAGAAAGTAATGAAATAATTAATTTAGCACGAAAACCTGAAGCTAAAGAAGTAGGAATTATTCGAAAAATAGCAAATATGGATACAGCACAAATAGTTGCGGTAGAAGTCAGTTTGGAAGCAGAAAGCATCATTATGAAATATCAGCACAAGGAAGAGCATATGGAAATTCAGAAGACAATATTCGTCGCACTTTTTGGAGGGCATCAGAAGTTAGAAACTTTAGCGGCAAACGAAATTATTACTGATATCTATGAAGACCTTGTATCTAAGCATTTGATGTCTGCGGAGGCACACTTGTACCAAGTTGTCGCAAATGTTGAAGGCCCATGCAATTTGTCAACGAAGTCAAGCAGGCTTGAAGAAAACAATCAAGAATACTATCTCCAGAAGAAACGGATTTCTGAGAATGAAGTAGCATTAATGTTACGTGCTATCAACTATGAATTTAGCAAATTTAATGCCAGAGAAAGTACTAATGAAATAGAAACGATCATCACTTATTGTCACCGTGACGAAAAATATGAGGAAGTTCGATTGTGCATCAATGACAAACGATTTGGTGGAAGTTTATTATTGTCAACTCATTTCGCTCAAGAATTCTCAGTCATATTTACAGCTGTTTTGACAGCTTCATATTCCAGTTTGGAAAGAGTTATTTTCACGATACTTACAGCACGTCATAGTGCAGAACAGCCCATACTTGCAACACTATCCACTACCGAAATGTATGCTGAACTTAGTTGTCATTTGAATTGTCCATCTACTGGTCGGCAATCAACGATCACCATCCACAGCGCTAATCAGATTAAGATCATGAATGTTCAACTAACTGAAAGTACTATTATTTCTGAAACTACTAATATACAATATCAACAACCAAATGCAGTTGTCGATACATTTTCAGAAGTATTTCCGGAAGCACGCTTTGGTGGATCATTGATTCTAAATACTTTGGCTACTAAGGAAACATCGATCAGCACTCAATCATTGCATAACTCACAAGGTCCGAAGCAGCTTGAAGGTCATATAGTTTTTATGGACAAGAATCGAGCAATTGAAATGTGCTGTATGTTGGCAACCACAGAACGGACAATTACAGCAAACGTACAACTTCAAAAACCAAGTGATTTGTCCAGTGTTAAGATAATGAAATGTGCATCACGTAGAGGTGATAATCAATACTTTGTGTTCACAGAACCATCAGAAATTAGTCAATTCAATAATTATGTATGGAAAAATCCTGCAGAAACCAATGCTGAGCACATTACTGTTTTGAAAGAAATACGTTATGGTGGTCATTTCAAATTGACCGCTGGATATGCAACTGAACAATCTATTACGATCACTGATACATTTAAGCAAACTTCCGCAGAGCTAAGTTCAACAATATCAAGAAAGACGGCAAATCGATGCGAATCAATAAATATATCCTGTTCAGCTTCTCAAGAAAATTACATATCTACTAATTTGAAATTACAATCCAAGAAACTGGCACAATTCGAGATTTCCATCAATCGCGAAGCAGTAAATCGTGAGGTACGACAAAAGTTAATTACGAAAGAATCCAGTGAGTTGATGCTGACAACTAATGTTACGATGCAAAAATCTTTGGATTATGAATCGGCACGAAGTGTTTGGAAGATGAAAAATCAAGGTGAAATAATCGAATTTCAATGTAATGCTTCAAGACAATCATACGCAGAGTTGTATAATTGTTTAGAATCCAGATTATCACTGAAACAACATGTTAGTGCAATACTGATAATTCATGAAGTGCTCTATGGCGAACATATAGCTATGAATTTGATGGCAACAGAAGAAACTATCTTCAATTTTGAAATATCATTTGAAAAGCAAGATATAGACAGCAAGCAAAGTTATACCGTCAAAGCAATCAACGTTGCGTTACCGGAAATACTGGATACTACAGTAAGCCCGGAATCAGCGGTGGAAATTGAAAAAGTGGAAGTGCGGAGGGGTCTTAGTGAGGTGCATGTAGAATCTGTTTTGAAATTAGCTAGGGAATGCTTACCTGTTTCTTTGCAAACAGATTCCGCTGAAGAGACGTTTATATGGCATGAATTTGAAATGCGTATCGATATCCAACGTACCAATGGTGCAATAGAAATTGAAAAGTCGGCGAGTATAATGGAACGTGAAGCATTGACCTGTACGGAAGCAGTTAGTGTGACGTTGCGACACAAAGCTGCCGATGAAGAACGAGAAGAAAAAGTCGATAAACGGTATTTTCTTGAAATTATCAAAATTTTTTCTTTTTCAACATTGCCGGAAGATCTTTTTAATTATCAATTTTGCAACTGGACTGTTGCAATCAATAAGTATTTGGTGATTATATGTGACAGATTTTATTTGTCATCAAATATTTTGTCATTTAACCGACAAATTTTTCATTTTATGTTAAATGAACTATTTTCAGCCATCTTCGATTTTCATTTAAATCATTTTCTATTTTGAATTTCATTTTAAACTTTAGACAGTAATATAATTCGCACTGTTAATTTACTTATCATTACTATTTGATAGAGTAAGTTTTGCTGCCGAAGTAACCGAGAAAACGATGTCAATGGATATGAGTGTAACGGTAGAACAGCGAGAAAAACCACTAATTGTGAAGAAACCCATGAAGAAGGAACAACATGGTCGACGGCCAACTTTACGACAAAATGAAGCTCCGAATTTGTATGAAATTTTGCTGTCAATTTCTTTTTTTCTACGTTTTATAATCAGTTTTCTAATTGCACGTGCAGTACTGATAAGTGCTTAAATCATTTCTGGTTAATAGTAGCATTTTTAGAAGTAGAAAGATTGGTGAATAAACAAATTAATTATAGAAATAGATAGTTTATATGACATCGTAATATTGGAAGTATTCATCATCTCACCTCTATCCTTCATTTTCTCTTTAAATTATTTCTTATTAATTTAACCACATTTATTGTTGAAGATTTTTACCAAATAGTAAAAATCACTAGAATATCGAAATATGGAATGATAGAATCTCGAAAAATAAAATAACTTTAATTTGAGGTCTGATTTTTGCAAATGTAATTTTTGTTTTACGACAGTGCTTTTCTATTTCCATTCATAATACGTGCATAACATTCTTCGAAATTTCATTTCAAATTTAAATTCAAATACTTATGATTTTTTTTCAGCATACCAGTACGACGTAATAGCTTATTGTTAGCAATGGAACTTGGTGATGCCCATAATATACCGCATTATAAAACTTTGGAGGATGTCATTAAGGGTATTAAAAAAGTAAATCTTAAAATTTCATTGAAATGAAATATTCTTAGTTGGAAAAAGACTTGCTTCGAATTAGTTAAGTAATATTGCGCCGTATTTTAGTTATTTGAAGTTTATTAGTTCAGAAATGTTAACATATATCACCCAAGTTGAACACCTTGAAACTATTCGCCATAAAATAAATGGTTTAAAATGAACTGTCATGAAGTTGGTATATTTTTCGAATGTGTTTATTCTTCAGTAATGCAATGTACAATTTCAGGCTGGTTTAGAATACTCGAATCTAATATTCGGAATCGATTATACGAAATCAAATAAGTATCAAGGTGAAAGGACGTTTGATGGACGAAATTTGCATGCTCTTAGTTCTGATGAAATGAATCCTTATCAACAGGTGTTTTCTTTTTCTTCTCATTTTGCGTTAAAGTTTTCATTTAAAAGTACACAAATTTAATGATTCTTTTGCGATTTTGCATGAGAAAATTGCATGAGGAAATTTAACAACACAGTTATTTTCTAAATATCAAAATTAATATAATATTTATTAATCGATTTATCAATTAATAGATTAATATATCAGTTATTTTTTTAAAGATCTATAAGCTAAACGTATACGTTTAATAATTCTATTGCTATTGCTATGGTTCACGAAAAATAAACTTTCTTTTGTCGTTTATATGGAGTTATTATTGAAATTATCGGCATGAAGTTTTTCAACATAATGAAAGCTAAGAAGTTAACAGGTGATCGAAATTGTCGGGAAGACATTATCATCATTTGATGCTGACGGTGTGATACCGACCTATGGATTCGGTGATGAGGAATCAAGTAGTCACGGCATTTTCAATTTGAGTGATAGGGATGATATGAATGCCGAATGCAATGGATTTGAAGGTTAATTGTTAAGCTGTAAGATATGTCTAAGAACAGTGCACAAATTTCATCCAAATTTCGTAACATAAAATTTAAAATTACGAAATTTAATTCTCTTAAAGAGGCTCCAGTAGTAAAGCAAAGAAAATTTCAGAAGTTCTGAGGATATACACTGACAAAACACCATCTATTCAGATGTCCGGTCCAACAAATTTTGTACCTCTCATTGAACAGGTTTTCTTTTATTTAAATATTTTTGAAACGACATGAAATCAACTCTAATTCTATTTTAGCTACTATTGGAAATCATGTACTTCAAAACAAAAATTCGACTAACTTACATCGACTATAAAATTATGTACTTGTGTATAAGAGGAATTTTTAAGGCAGTATCAATTGTACGTGAAAAGCATTCATATCACATCTTGGTGATTGTTGCTGATGGGCAAGTAACGAATGAAAAGATCAATCAGAAGGCTATTGCGGCAGCATCACGCTATCCACTATCAATTATTATGTCTGTTCTTGGATTGTTATTCCAAAATTAAATTCCCAACTTAAATTCAAAACTTCAATTTTCGAAAAAATTTTTGAAATTCGAAATTTTCACATACATTTCAGGGTTGGTGTTGGTGATGGACCATGGAATATGATGACCAGATTTGATGAAACATTACCGAAACGAATGTTTGATAATTTCCATTTTGTTGATTTCCATAAAGTACGTTGCTGTATTTTCTGATTATACTTGAAAACTCCTTTGTTATAAAAACAAAAAAGATTTATATCATAAAATGGATTACAACACTTATGTTTGAGTAGAAATAGCAAGAACTTCAAGTATTCTATACCGTTTTGAATGCTATAAATCACTTCAAAATTTGAATCTTATCACTACTTCGGATTATTTCAGTATCTTCAGGAATATAATTCCTCCAGCATTCTTAAGACAAATTAATTGATACAAAATCGTTAAGGCATCGAAAATAACAAATCAGAAATGTTATTTCACAATATCAATATTTTAAATCTTCCCGATTAAAGTTCAGATTTATACTTATTCAGGTGATGTTCAATGCTCCAAATCAGGAAGCGTCATTTGCGCTTAATGCTCTCATGGAAATACCCGATCAGTATAAAGCAATTAAGGAACTTGGATTACTGAAGCATTCACGACGCGGCTAGAAGAAAAGCAACAATTAGCAATGACAACAACAATAACAATAACAGCAACTTGTTCCCACTTACTGGAATAGTGGGAGGTGAACTAGGATTTCTAGAAAACATTTCCTCATAGAAAATATTTTCAATAATTTCAATTAGATATTTGTTGACAAGAAACCAAAAAAAATAATCATTAGATTGTTTGTTCAAAATCTCACAATTCTATATTGTTTCCTTTATATCTTTTTGATTTCAAAATTTAGAAATAATTTAAAGAAATAGAGATTTGAGGTTTTGAATTCCTCGAAAAATTAAACATTATCTAATCTTTATAATTATGTGCATCTCACGAATTAATTGAAATATTCCCGAAACTCTTTCTATTTATATATATTTCGACTTGTAATTAACCACTTTGTTTTTGCTTGATTCAATCAAACTAATTGGGAAGAATATATAATAACAATGTATAATATCCTAACAAAGATTACGACTAAGCTATGCGCTTGACGAATCTAACCGACGATTAAACAAATTATTCAGTGAAAATCTTTCACCGTTTCCTGTCGTGCAATATTTTATCGCCATAGATTAGAGAATATATTCCTTATTTAATTTTCTTTTTCTTTTTGCTATATTCAGCACGCATTACATTGTCCCTAATGTGTTGAGCGCAGTGCAACTCGCTTGTACCTCACCTTTGGGAGTAAACTGTATCTGCGTGCATGCATTTTATTTTCACTCCTTCTACACGTCTTTTTAAACAAAAGACTGCACTTTTTGTTATTCCTCACTTTAATATTTTATATATGGGCTTCTAACTCTTTCTTTTTTAGGAAGATAAAATGAAATAAAAGACTGAAATTTAAGAAAAACAGAATTATGGAAGTCAATCAATTAAGCCTAATGTATCTCATCCATGTATAGTAATCATAGGATCTTTACGAATTTTAAATTGGGGACATTTTATTACACAAACCATTTCTCCAATGTCTAAAAAATAATTTGTGAGAAATAAAGCATACCAATGATTCTTAATAGTCACAAATTATCCATCACAAGAAACAATTACGAAGAATGTATAGTACAATCTTAAAAATATTCATCCCAAAGAACTTCACTTGGGTATTTCGTGCAGAGCGGATGAGCAATTGCGGTTTAAAATATCAATGCAGCGCTCTTTATGCCACCATACGCCAAAAACAAATTCTATGATAAATTATCCGCTTATTTTTGGTTATTAAAGAGAGTGGTGGATTTCGAAAGCTATAAAAGAACGCAATAATGTAACTGATAAGCAATTCGGAAGTTATGGGTATTGAGTAATAATTCATTGCAGAATCATTCACAAAAAAACAAATCGCTGTTCAGTAAAGCGATTTATGACAAATCTAGAAAAAATGATGAAATGAAATTAAAATACAAGATTATTCATATTCTTTCCTGATCCTTTCCCTGATCACTTCTTCTTACCACCTCTTTCCTTGATTAATAATTGTACGACAGCTCCGGTATTCATATTGTAATAGGCTAATGTGCAAGCATCTTTCAAGAACAATCCCTGCAATTGATACTATTTAATTAATTTGAAAGCAAAAAATATATTTGAAAACAGGATATAAAAACAAGGAAATTGACACAGACAGAATTTGAATATGTTAAAGAGTTTAAAATTTTATTTTTGGATTCCTCGCAAGTTGGAAAGACTTACCTCATATGACAACTTCTGCTTTGAACATGGCAATCCAGTCTCATCTTGCACAAAACTTTTCAGAGTAGAAATCTGAATTTGTTTTATTTTAAAAAAAAATTTTAAATTAATAGTTCACACTGTTAAAAGTTATTTAATTCCTACGAAATTTTCAAATTTCATCAGCAAAAATTAGTAAGTGCAAATTTGAATATACCGGTGCAGCAATATCCATAGAAACATTTAATCGTCGGCCATCAAGTTTCCAGTCCGGATTAGGAGCAGTGCTAGGTATCTGGACACTAACTGTAATTGATCCAGTGACCTGAAAAAGTAACGTCATTATGATTATAATAATACAACTTTTCGTTACCGTTGCATATAAAATTTCAAACCTCTTATAATTAATGATTTTATGATCATGGGTCATTACTCATTGAGCTGCAAATTAATGACTTCAAAAATTTAAAGCACTTAAAACTTTAGAGTTGAGTGAAAAACTTCAGAGCAATATAAAAGTACCTTCATAAGCCAATCGGCTTCACTTTCAAGCTCATCTTCTGTTCGAGCCTTTTTAGAAGGCGGAGGTCCATCACTAACAGGAGCATTAGTAGCTGCATTTGTATCAACTACAGAAGCAGATGAAGTTGCAGGTGGTGGAATTGGAGCTGTTACCGGTGTACCAGTAGGGCGAACTGCAAGCGGCGTTTGTGGAATTACCGGGACTGGTATCATTGGAACTCCAATTGGTGGCTGAAAAATAACTTAAGCTTTCGAAACCAAATTTAACAAGAAAAAAGAGCACGATTTTTACATTAAAAAAGAAAATGAATAGTGCAATTAAAATGAACTAACTCTCATGACAGGCATTGGCATTGGGGGCATTGGCATTGGTGCACCTGGAAAAGGTATTGCAGGAAACCTGAAATTATTCATCCATATCTTTTATATCATATTTCGAGACTTTTGTATTTTTTACTTTATTATTTTTCGTCACTAATTTACTATGCAACTTATTAACTGAGAAAGAAAAATAGATTCTCCTGTTCAATTTTTGGCCAACAATATTCAATGAAAAACCATTAATACAAATCATAAAAACATAAAAAACAAACATGAAACAAAACAAACCCAGGTGGTGGTGGTCGCATGGGGATTTGAGGAATAACTGGTGATCGAACGGCTTGGGTTGGTGGTACTGGAGCAGGTGCAGTCTGCGGAGGTGGCACTGGTGGACGTGGAGCAGGAGCGGGCGGTTTTGGTACTACCGCAGTTGATGCTGTTGTGCTGGTAGTAGTAGTGGTGATAGGCGAAGACGTTGTAGCTGCCGCTGTTACCGCTACTGTCGTAGTTGGTGGTGGAACTGTTTGAACTGGAGGAGGTGGTGCAGCACCTGGTCCTATTCTTTCCTTGCTTGGATCAGCAACATATCCATGTTGTTTATGAATTTCATTAATTTGTTGGTCTGAAAAATGATTTTCAAATTGATATATGCTTAATTTTCATGGAAACATATTTTTTTTTTTTTTTTTGAAAATATAAATTGATTGATAACTTGTCGCTAATTTCTGATTGATTATTGATGGCAAATCATCAATTTTACACTCTATCTTTTATAATTCCAGGATTGTTGCTTAGATAATCATAAATGAAATATCTGAAGCATTTAATTACGTGCTTCGTAATCTACCATTTGATTTACAAATATTGGCAATTACTTCAATATATTCACCAAATTTATGCAAAAAAATACCTAATGTAACGCTTTGCTGAGCTAATTTCGTTGTCTGGTCGATCGTAGACTGCTGACCATCCCAGATAAGCTTCGGATCAGGACCACGTGGCGCCTCCTCTTCTTCACCAAGCTAAAAATAATATATAATGCAAAAATCTCTTCTTTCTTCTAATTCCGAGTCACCACATAGAGAGAATGTTCGATGCGTAGTTATTAATTTTATTATTTATACCAATATCATTACAAATTTTATCGTAATAATGACGTGGCATATCCCGCGTCAGAACTGTTTTAGATTCAACTGACCAAACATCAATTTATTTCAGTTCTTATAAGTAAATTAAACACAATAGCAGTAGTTGGCTAAGTAATGAGATGATCCAAAATGACAAACTTACTTTCTTACCAATAATCGTTTGCTCTGCACCATGACCAAATATATCAGTACGACGTTCTGCAAACTTACCAATATTTGTACTAATATCAGCACCTGGCGCATAAACTGGTTCCTCTTCATTGCGATCTGACAACTCTCTAAAAAAGGAAAAAAACAATAAGTCAGAATTGGGAGTGTACTGTGAGCATATTAAACATCAGTTTTTACGAAAAGTTTGCTTGCTACATGAACCTTTCTCGTTGTTCCTTATATTGCGAATCAACGGTATTGTAACGCATATGCTCCTGTAATTTATCAGCAGGTATTCGTTCACCTGTAAGAGGTGAAATAATCCACTTGTCAGCGGCTTTTCGTGCAGTTATTGCTGAAATTGAATCAGTTTGAAGTGAAAGATCAGAACTCATGGTCATGACTCATAATTTATAACTCGAAATGTCGTCATATATAGATAAAAGGGAGGTGGGGACAGCAACCAATCTTCATTTTTTCATAGTCTCAAAGCATATAAAAGTGCTCTTTCTAGTCCCATTTCGCAGATCTCTTTCATCTCTTGTTATTCATCCCTACTATCTCTCGTGCCAATCAAACCCGAATGATTCCAAAAACAAAAAATGAAAAGTAAAAACAAACATTTCTTGGGATCATAATCTCTGATTACAACTGTATCTTCCGATGGTGGCGCAGGCATCGGTTGAGTCACTTCATATGGAGCTTTCTTCTCACGATCAGCACTACCATTTTCTACTTCGCCATTTGTAATCTAAAGAAAGATAGCAATTGTATTCCATATAACACTTAAATCTTTCTTATTAACTAATCCTCAATTTTGTATGATTTCGAACTTATGTCAGCAATGACCTGCCAACGATTATGATAATTAAATAAATTTTGAATTTCTTCAACAAATTTGCACATGATTTATCTTTGATCCAAACTATAACTATAACAAATACTAATTTCGTAAAGTGCTTTAATATGAAGGAAACGATTTAAGAAATAATTATGGAAAAGCAATATGGTAGTCAAGAAAGAAAAATTATCCTTAAAACTTAAGAAACAAGTTGTTGAAACAAGATATTTATTTTCATATATAGCACTAGCAATAAAACGAATTATTTATATATAGCACAAGCAGCTCGAATTAATATTGAAAAAACATACTTCATTGCGAATATCTTGATGCTCCTCATCGGAGTCTG